TTTTGGCTAAGCAATTACTTAATTTTGAATGATTATAACTTTTATAAAATAATATTTATTTCACTATGATCCTGTAAAAACAAAGCAACTTAACTGATTTAGCGCAATCGATAGTTCTATCGATAGCTTTTTTTTTCGAGGCTATCGTGAATATTGATAGTTTTTCTGAAAACTATCAAAACTATCGATGGAGTGACTATCGATAGTTTGACACCTTTAGCATGAAGTACAAACGCAAAAGGCTGATTCACATACAACTTTCTTCGCTTTGTTTCATACACTCAAAAAAGTGCATGTAAAACTACTACTGAAAAGTGTTTATTTTTCAACCAGAATCTGTTCAAGTATACGCACAAGATGTTCAAGATTTGATTTTGAACATGAGTTGTTTAAAATATACACATGAAATGTTTAAAATTACAAACATTTTGAAAGTAAAAATATATTTTTTACAAATAATAAATACTAAGTGCCAGGGGCGCACGCAGGAATATATTTTTGGGGGGAAAGGGTTTATACTTCTAAACATATATCATCAGCAAATACTGAAAATTCGCTATATAAAATACATTTATGAAAGTTTTATTTACAGTATGAAATAAATAAATAAACTTTTTAAAGTATCATCAATTGCATTTTATGTACATAAAATTTACAAAGAGTCAGACATTTTTAACCGGCTTCAAAAAAGGGGAGGTTATCAATTCTTCGCAGTATTTTTACTTCTTTTATTTATTCCACCGCATAACTTTGCACCGCGTGAACCGATTCCAATAATTATTTTTTTTACCGGAAAGATGGTACCTTAAGGGTCGTCCCGTAATTTGGCTTAGATCCGATCATTTTATCATGAAAAAATTACGGGTAAAGATGCACTCAACTTTCAAAAGTAATACAAAAGTTTACAAAAGAATTTTAATATCAATAAATTAAATGATTTCACGAAATTTTTACACTTTTTTATTAATTTTCGTCGATTTCTGGTTTCTCATTTTTTAATAATTCGAATAACGAAAATTTAACTGAACTTGTATTTTTATCATGTAGCTCATTTTGGTGGAACAAATTCGCATATTAAATCTTCGAATGCTTATTTTTTCTTTCAAAATTTCTTATATCATAATAAATTTAGCCCCAAAACCCACTCCTTGTGTGCGCTACGTGACAAATTTGATATGTAAAAGTAAACAGACATTGTTTAATTTTGCACACACTAGGAGAGGAAACTGGTTACCTCTCTTTATATGCGTAAATTTAAACGAAAATTTTTTAGGGGAAATTTTAAACATTTTATGTGTAAACTGCGAAAATGTGAACAATAAATGTTTAAAACTCAAAAAACAAATTTGAAATTTGTTCTACGCCACACATATGATAAGTAAAAGTAAGCAAGCAGTGTTTAAATTTGCATTCATTAAGAGAGGAAACCGGTTACCTATCTTAATATGCGCAAATTCAAACAAAAATTTTTTAGAGTGTAGTTCTTTGCTTTGACATATAACATCGATGTAGGCATATGCATGAGTATGCTCACATAAAAAACGTTTGAAGCAAAGCAAAGCAAAACGAGGCAAAATCTTGGGCAACTCTAAACTTTTGCCCGCTTTGGCAATCAGCTGTCTACATGTATCTTTTCTTGTGCGCTTGCATTTGCATTTAATGACAAAAATAGGGTAAATGTGAAAGCCGAGTAGCTCCCGGAGACTCCCACGATTTAGAGAAATAGAGATTGCGCCAATCGCGGTACCGCTAATCCGCTCTTTGTGATTTTGACAGAATGAGCTGTGTGCGTGACGTCATCTTTGTGCAATTGTTGAATGTGAGCATACGAAAGAACCAAATAACACTTTTAATATTTGTGCGTTAATATTTCTGNTTGAGACATTAAAAAGCAAAATGAAGTGTGCAGTGGCAAAGTGTAATAGTGAAAACAAAAGGAAAGCGTGCTATATAAGTTTTTTTCCGTTTCCTACCGACGCAAACCTGGCGAAAAAGTGGAAGCCGTTCTGCCGGGGAGGACATGCATTAAACACCAAATCGAGCTTTGTGCAACGTGTGTGAGCTATGAGCTTCTACATGGAACTATGTTGGCCTTTCCTTGGTGAATTGTAGTAGGTAGATTTCCATGGTGAATCAAGACAGTTGCTGGTTTAGTTTGCTGGCAATGGCATACATACAAAAGCAGTTTCTACAGTAAATAGATACATGAACTTCACTACCTACTTATTTTTGTTAGTACCTGATTCTTTTAGTGCTGGTATGAGGTAATGCACCAGTGGATAAGGTCGCCAGGCGCTAATTCAAGGGGCGTCTTACCGCGCTGTTACGAACCTAATACAAAACAGTGGCCAAATTATTATACATTTAAAAGTTCAGCTTAAATTATGTTTTACTGACATAGAATATTTGCTTCCAAAAAAGCCACACTTATGCATCCTCTCGGAAATGGTACACAAGAAATCAAATAAAAGCTATGGAGTCAACAGCTGTGGAGTTTATGGTGGTTGGCTACCGTCCACAAATATAAATATGGACTCTGCATGGCTTTTTAAAATGGCAAGTCAAAAAATTCACTTTGCTGCACACCTTCCTTTTGGTCTACATGAAATTGCAAACACTGTTAATACATCCATTTTTTCATTTGCTGAAAATCGTACTTATCTAAAGGGCTACATGTCCCAAATTATTGCTACGTGTTCCTAATTAATCAATCTTTGTATATTTATTGATTCCTGCAAAATTGGGCCATGTAATATTACAATTAACACATTTTTCTGCATTGTTTACATACTTTTATATGCGTTTTGGCATTTCTCTCTCGCAATTGCACCAAGATGACGTCACGCAAAAATTACGCTCGAAAATCCTCTCTCATTGGCGCAATCTTGTATTCTATCATTCTTGGGAGACTCCCGTGTGCACCACTAATTTAGAAAAACACTTCATCAGCAAGAAACGCAATGTCTTCAGATCTAAATATTTCAACATCCTTTCCAAATTGTTTGCCATAATTTCCGTCTTTCTTTGATAACACAGGCCGACATTTTTAGATCCTGGGATCAGCTTACACTTTTCCGAAGGTTTTTGATGCGCCGAATCTGAGTCCGGAATCAGTTTTGCTCGATTGGCTCAGGTTTTCGAGATATTTTAGCCTAAACATGCTAAAACCCCGACTTTTAGCTATATTCGTCATGTATTTTCATCAAGAATTGTTTGTTTTTTTAGATAATTTAATAAATCAGTTTTGTTCGATTGGCTCAGGTTTTCGAGATATTTTGGCCTAAACATGCTAAAACCCCGACTTTTAGCTATATTCGTCATGTATTTTCATCAAGAATTGTTCATTTTTTTTAGAAAATTTAATAAATCATTTGAAAGTAAAATATTTCCCTTTGATAATGCTGTTTAAGGCACTCGGCACATTACGCGCCTAATCAAAGTAGAGCAATCGTTTCATCATACCGAAACGAATGCATGATAACTCGACTTCTGCACACTTGCACGCCCTGCATAAGTCACCAGCTAATAAACACTTTCTACACATAACAAATTTTTTGGCCGTTCTTTCGCAACACGCACTTCCGCAAATTATTCCGTTCCGAAATATTGCATAAACGCTTGTGGTTTAATGCAATTGCACGAATTTTAGCACGAAATCGTTCATTTCCAATTATTTTCTATTGAATTGACAAATAAATTTTATTTCCAACACATAATAGTAAACAAATGACGATTTCAAAACTGCAAGCGCCTTACAATGTTGGGCGCTTCGATTCATGAAGCTTTTATGATTAGGCGCAAACATGATTTTGAATCGTAATCTACAGAGCTTCATTGAAATACATGGTTCGGCATAAAAGCTTTACACTTTAGTATGCCGAAACGATTACACTACTGTGACTAGGAGCTTAATGTGCGGAGTGCCTAAGTGCGATAAGTTGTACAACTTGCAAGAAAATCCAAATTTTTTGATCTTTCATACAACCAAGACATAAATTCATTCAACAGGCCCACAAAGGGTGCAATCTAGAGCAAAACAACAAGTTGAACTAACGGTCGCTACGTTTATGGCTTTCTTTAAGAAACATCGGGCGAAAATTTCAACTGCTCTAACACTACCTTATATAAGTTGGCCTTGCTATCATCCTCACATATCGCACACCGTCTTCAAAACAGTCACAACTCAAAATTTGGCATTTTGGCAGAGCTTTTATTTACCTTTCATCAAAAGTTGGAGCAAATTTTTGCTATAATTTGTTACAAAAACCTAAGGTAAAGTCGCCCTTGTCCATATGAATAACATGTGCTAAGTAATAGTTTTCCGCATTTTCTGACAAACGTATTATTTTGAGATGAGACTCTTTTGAAGACGGTGTGCGATATGTTTATCAGGGTATACCAACGAAGGACGAGTTAACACAAGGAGATAGCGAGAGCACAAAACTACTCTAGAAAATTGCACGCACAATGACAAACATGAACAAATGTACAACAAAGACATAATTTTTTACAATCAGTACAGTTCGCATTTATATCAACAAGCAGCTTACTACCCTGCAGGAACAGTGACTATCATTTGANTTTCTGTCACTGGCTACCTACAAGTTTCTATCGAATTCTAAAGGGCAGTGTGAAAAATCTGATGTAAACATTTGTGTACATGTGATCTTCCGTCTTCCTTCAACTTATGGCCTTATTTGATGGTCTCTTTTTAACCAACGCAAAATTTGCAAATGTGTTAGTAAGATAAATGAGAATGTGTTAGTTTCCATCACACAATTCTTGTAGGGTAGATTTGTTTTCGTTTGTACTACCTACATATGTGCATAATATGCAAACATATGGACATACACAAACATATGTACATACATACAAATATATATACAACCATTCA